GGTAATTATCCAGTTTAGCGGCCTCATCTCTGATTTCGATGAAAGTAGGCTCAATCGACGCGTTTTTGCATGCCAAATAACTTTTTCTTCTGACAAAATCGTCGCTCTCTACTGCGAAGCGAGATATTAATAGACAAAGTTGAGGGCGTGTTAGGTTAGAAAATCTGTCATACCGTCTATCTCTGGCTATGTAACTGGGGGGCTTCGCCCCCCAGACCCCCCTATCACAGGGGGTGGGGGCTACAGTCTTTTGTGAGAAATTCATTCTTTAGCTTAATTAAGCATAAAAGACTATAGCCCCCATCCCCCCTGATAGGGGGGTCTGGGGGGCGAAGCCCGCCAGTTACATAGCTAGAGATAGATGGTATGACAGATTTTCTAACCCAACACGTCCTCAACTTTGTTTATTAATATCTCGCTTCGCAGTAGAGAGCGACGATTTTGTCAGAGGAAAAAGTTATTTGGCATGCAAAAACGCGTCGATTGAGCCTACTTTCATCGAAATCAGAGATGAGGCCGCTAAACTGGATAATTACCTTTATTTTTATTTAAACAGTCCTGTTCAATAAGCAACACATTTTTCAAAATAAAAATGCTGCTAACAAAAGCCAAATCACAAGAAGCATGTATTGTTTCTAGCAAAACAATCACCGCCAGGTACGGGCAAATCATTTGTCAATGTTTAAACTTATATTTCACTACAAGAAAGTCGCAAGAAATAATCGTAATTGTGATTTTCGCAGTTCTACAAGACTTTTGCAAATTGGCCTTGGATTATCTGCAGAAGGGCAGATGTTAAAGTGTACAGTGCTGCTGCTTGTGAGTAGTTGATTGTTGCTACTTTCAAAACGTGACGCAGACTGACAATCTCAACATATCATGCACTAAAGTTATTAGAATTTTCTAAACGTACGCAATATACATTTGTTATTTATTAATTATTTAAAAAAGCACTAACAATATATCAGAATAGTATATCTATCAGTGATAGCTTTACGTTCATGCCCAAAAGTAAATTTGTATGTAAATAGAAAATATTAATAACCTTATTAGATCCTTTCTAATCTCTATTAATAAAAGTGCTTTTCAATGTTCTTATGAACCGATTAGGAAGCTTATAAGCCATATTTAGAGGCAATATTATCAAAAATTTACAATGAGGGCCTTAATGTTAAGAGGTTGTTGAATACTAATGTAGTCTTGTAGTTTACACTGTAGTTTTCTCTATTTGGTTTCATACAATTGTAAATACTTTTATATAGTGAAAGTATAAATGTCAAGGTATAAAAAATACTAACTATTGTATGAAAAACAAAAAAGGATTTCTTATAAATAAAAAATGTATATTATAAGATTGTAAATATTTTTATAGAATGAAAGTATAAATAAATGCATGATATGGAAGTATAAATCAATGCATGATATGGCACCAAATATTATATAAAAAAATTTTGTAAATTGTTTTGATTGCAAATTTTTTTATTCAGTATTTGGTACTTTTCATGTAGTGACAGCATTTAAAAGTATTTATAATTCTTTAAAAGTATTTATAATTCTTTGCAATGAAATATGAAAACAGTACAAACTACAAAACTCTATTAGTTGTGTACATTTGTATATCTGACTATATCTAAGACTTGATAACTTCATAATTAACTCTATTACTTAATATTCTGTTGTTCTGCTTATTGCAGAGAAGCTGAACATTGAATTGGTGTAATTAAAAATTCAGTTGAGGTTTGGTTAATCTCTTGCTGGAAGCAAGCAAGCAAGCACAAGGTAAGATCTACAACAATAAAATAAAAATCTCTGTATAAATAACTAAATGTTACATTATTAATATTATTAATATCATTGAATAAATATTGTTTATTGTATTTGTATTTTATAGTTAAACAGAAGACTTGAGATTCTCCTCTTCTTACATCTCTGGCGCGATCCCAAGCGCATATCGAGTTATAAAGGGATAACCATGGATGTAAGAATATATGGACAAAGCGAATTGTCGCGAGAGTGAAGCCCAAGAGGTGAGGGGAATGATTGTATGTATTATAATGAAGTTGAGGTACCAAGATGGCGACGGTCGCTGTTTTTATACACTGAAAATAGATACAAGCCCCGGCACCAACATGGCCGCGACGATGTAATCCTCTTGGACTTCACAGCTCCTCGTCTATAATCGCACTTTTTGCTTCGTCCATATATTCTTACGTCCATGAGGACAATAAAAAAACTCGCTTATTTCCAGAGTTGCTGTTTTGCGTAAAATAATTTATTTACAACATATTTTATGACATATTTTATGAAAACGAACATGTATGACATTAAACGAATCGAGTAACAAATTGTTATAATGCACGTATCTGTTTTTCTGTAACATACTGCGTTCACCACAACAAGCGTTACTATCATCAATACTGTAGTAAAACAACAGATACTTTTTAATCTTTATTTAGATTTTATGAATGATCGCATTGCAAGCTTTCTCAGACAGTAAAAATTCTCCAAGGGATATCCTGAGAACGTTCTTCAAAACGTCTTTAGGATATCCTGTGTTATTTCGGGTTTTGTGTTTGATATATAAATTAAACAGAATAACGATACATTTATTCGTTCAAACATTTTTTAACTCGTCTAACACGTGCGTTTGACATGAATTCTTTCTAAGTTATTTAAAGTATATGATTCAGCATATATATGTTGCTTAAATAATACGATATGCAACAATGACATGCTCATTACCAATTTTACACAGCTCGATTATTACATACGGAAGACCCGGGGATCGTCTTAAGGAAGAAAGAAAGGAAGAAGGAAGGTGGATAATTGATAGAGGGCGATCTCCCGTTCCCCGCTTCTGTTCACCGTGATAATCCATTCGTGTCTCCGAGGCGAACGAACGGAGACTACGGCAACGATCGTAATAAGAGGGTTATACCAAGTCGGCGGGCATGTCATGATCATAACGAGCATTCCTACGATTTTATTACGAAACTCAGAATACCGTAGCAGTCGACTTTCTATCAGCATGGTCGTAAGATCGCGCAGATCACGCGTTGCGCTTCGATCTAAGAGCGACGTGTTCGATAAAGCGTAGACGAGCGTCTTGATTAAATCAGGTAATACGACGATACTCCGACTAGTCTACATGTCATTTAGAACGACGCGGATACAAACCGCGCCGATATTTCCACGAGCAATGAGATTTATAATAACAATAACAATAAACTAAAGAGCGTTCGTCGTCAATCGAGTTATGTTAATATTTCAATATGCTTCTCGCGCCGGTAATTAGCTTTCTCAGTGTCCAAGGCAAGATTAAATCGCACATTGCTTTAACTTCCGCGTTCCTTTTGCGACTGTATCGTCCGCTTTATGTAATTCAAGTCCTGCAGTTGTATAAAAGTGTCTTTATGGGCGGTAAAAGTGCGAAAAAAAGAAGAGAAGTTGTCTCTCCGTGGATAATATATTTCGTCTCACTTCGGAGAAAGTACAAGAAAACATCCTTTGCATTCGCTTCGCAGGCTCTTTCTCGCGAATGGCGTCTGTATGACGGTTTCGATATTATCAGCTTAATCGCCCAGAGTGGATTCTCCTATATCGAAAAATTGTTTTCCGACGAACCGGTCGCGGTCACTTTCGCACGTACGTAGAAAGTGCCGCGCTTGATCCCGCGCGAATTGATCGTTGACGCGAGATGACGAACTCGGCGCGAACGACGTTTAATGATGTATGTAAATATATAGTTCAACGTCTTCGCGTTTTTCTCGGCTCTAACAGCGAGCGGACGTCGCGAAGTTGGAAAGGAGGATGGATAGTTGCATATATAATATCGTGTAACATCCATACGACGTGTCTGTTGCGTGGTCGTGAGGTCGCAGGAGCACAGAAGTCGAGAATATCCTCGTGAGCGAAACTGGCGAAACGCAAAAAGGACGAACAGGAATACGGACGCTGATGGAAGTCCGCGTAGAGATCGGCGCCAACTCTTCGTCGACGAACTATCGTTCGCACCTGAACGAGCGCTATTGTTGGGATAGGTAAGCCGATCGAGACTAAACGAGATCGCTTATGTTCTTTTCACGGTCGCCCGGTGACCGTCATATGAACTTTACAAGCCACCGATCGTGATTGAACGACCGTCGCGTGCGTGCGAAGGTGCGGCAGTTGAGCGGACGACGGTCAAGTTCGAGCGGATTCGAGTCGGCAGCTTCTCGTCGACTCCCGTGTCATTTTTGCCTTACTTTCTGACACTTGCGCTATATTCTGAAGGATCAGTGTATGTTTAATACACGTGAAAATTGAAGTTTTGTTTAGCGCTTCTAAATGACAAGAAACACACAAAATGCTAGTAAGTTCTACCTACAAGAGAACCTCTCGCCAAAACTAGTAGATTAAATAGAATCAAAAGGTTGATATAGACTTCAGAATTAAATTATTATTAAAGTAGGCATTAAATGGAATACTGAGATCGAAAGTGGGATCAAAATTTTGACTTTGGTTATGCCATCGGATGCGAATACTCGTTGCGACAACAGTGATCGCCGATTTTCATATCCAGTTGACACATCTAATTGCAACCATGAACTTGAAAATACAAGCATACTTCATATATTTGCTGCAATTGTTATGTTACAATCTTGTAATTATGGTCATCTCTTGGAAAGTAGGTAAAACTTTAATGCAGTGGTAACGTAAAACTAACTTCGATAAGAAGATAAAATTGTTGTTTTATATGAAACATACTTTTCAAATTTGTGAATGTTACATACTAACGATGATGTTACGTAAATGTTATGTCGAGTGGGCGCTGGAACTCGATGACCAACGCGGCGTGGCGCAATCGTGATGATTATTGGGTACCACGTGTATGTTCATTCGGCGACACGAATCCTCATCGCCGTCGCGATAGCCAATTAGCTCTTGATAACGAAAATAGGGTAACATACAGGTTATTTGCAATGTTGTGTGCGTGTGTCCTCTCTGTACTGTAAATACACGCCAATCCTCGTACACCGCAGATCGTATCGCTACATTAGTAATAGAATGTCGTTAGCGTTTTTCAATGTCATCATCTCCGAGCAAGTGTAATCAGCGTTATCGGAGTCTGTGCAATCGGAGCAGGCACTTCCGGAATATCGCGTATAGACCAGTAAAAGTGCACTATAAAGTGCAAGCGCACGCAAATCATGGTTGAAATGTTGTGTCAATCGATTGTTGCTAATGATCGACTTGCAAGATTGTAAGTGAATAAGAAGATCCCGTGGCTCGAATTGACTCCAAAGGAACTTGACAACGAGAATTTCTGAATCATGTGACAGCGCTCTAGCGGAATCCGTGACGAAGTGCCCTTGTTGTTCTCAGCGATAATTCAAATGTGTTAATTGCGAGAAACAGGATCGATATTAAAGCGTCGCGCGACGCATAATTACAAAGCGCGAGAATAATTTTCCAGAGGAAAGGAACTGGAGAAAAATCCCTGAATGTCTCGCGTGAATCGGACGAATCGTCGATCGGGTTTCTTCAGTTGATAATTATTAGTTCGCGCGTTTACTTTCGATTAATTGTGCAGACAGTGACAGTAATATCGAGGCTGAAAATGTCGCTATTATAATGATATCTCCTAATTGCAACATTTCTCCTTGCTCGTTATTCGCTAGAAAGTAACCGATCGGTAAAAACACGGGAGCGGAGTGTGAAATATAAATTGAAATAGTGACCAATTACAGCGAAGGTAATAGCGACTCAAGTGATTGTCGTTTTATTATTAGATCTTGAACATAAGATTCTCATATCTGAGATTTCTTAAACTGCATTTAGTCAAGCGATTTCGCGAGAGAATTTCGCATCTCGCTGTTTTGTGTCTTGCGCTTTCGTCCTTGACTGTGAAACGTTAACTTCATGCGTATTTCTCAATGAGCTTTCGCGTCTCGCGTTGCGAATTATTCATGAGGAATTGGACGTTGTATATTTTGCTTGTCGTTCGTGTGGTCGACGAAATTGAATTATCAAATGCACCGGAATGAAACGGTTAGCGCGCTTCAATCGCTGCCTATCTCGTATATCGCTCGATTAAAAATAGTTCGAGTGACAAGCTTCAGATACCATGGAAAGTTTATGAGATATCAGAGCCATTTCAGTAGATTACTGCTACCATTTAGACAAGAATTTTTCGTTACGATTAGCTTGGAAAATCGCTAAGCCAAATCAATTACTTCTCTCTAAAGTACCGTCGACTGTTTAGTTTTTAAAGAGCTCGTTAATTTTTTATCTGTTCACATAGATATGATAATATAATACTCTCTGACTATATCATATTTTATTAAGTAACTTCGTGATTTAAAATTAACAATCAGTCATTAAAAACTTTTTGAATTTCGTCTTATTCTCAAAATTCCCTGTATTGTTAAAGTTCTCATTTCATATTTACACGTATAAGTAACACATGATACGAGAATACACGTTCGAGACACGTTGATGAAGAACATCAGAGAACAAACGATCGCAATGATCGCGAATTGTCAAGCAAGCTCAATCGGAAATCATGATCAAGCGGCGATCGGCCGATATGAATGGCGAAAGTACGCGACAATTAAAAGCCATAAACCACCGTCCTCCGCCCATGAGATCCTTCACGCTTGCGTAACGATACTTTTGTCACTTCTCTTACGGCGAATCGATTATATCACAGAGTGTGCCGTGCGATAATTGCACTCCTGGAGAAGAGAGAACGCGATCGCATGCGTGCACACGGTAGAAAAAGGAAGCCAACAGCTTGACAAATGATGTCAACAAGATTAAAAGCGCGTCGCGCCTCGTACTTCTCCTCGAGTGGTTTGCTCCTGAAGGACGATCGCGCGATATGCCGCACTTTGCCCTTCGTTAGAGCGCACGACTCGAATGAATTCTATTCCTTTCGTTAGAGTTCCTGTAGTAAAAACCTGGCCATAATTCGATTTTGTCAAAATCCTGCGAGAGGGAAAGAAATATTTATTATCTCTCTCGCAGGAACAAAGTTGGCTCGTCCTTTCATAGGGCCAATTATCCTTTTGTACCGAGCAAAGCCTTTTATAGGAACTTTAACTTTTCTTGAACTGCAGCGACTTCCTCGTCCAACAGATCTTCGGCTCGTCAGAGCGCGCGAAAGCGCGGCGCGTCACGAACTGTCCCGAAGTCGAATGGTCCGGCCGTTATCAGCCATTATTCTTCGCTGTATACTCCGTTCGACTACTTTATTTGATCGTTCGATAGGAAGCAGATAATCGCGTGTTATCGACTACTTTCTGCTTACTTCAATCACAATGGGCAGCCGATATAATCTACGCGTGGCCGCGGGAAAACGTCAGTTCACCCGCGTGATATGCGCGAGTTGCACGGGCCCTGGTCTCGCCCAGAAAACCTCCGTCGCGAATTCGCGGCTCGATCACTCGTAACGAGCGACTGGATCATTGCAAGTTGATGTAGCCCGCGCGATTAACTGTGTACTCGCGTACCTGAGCGCCGACGTTTATATACGAGCACACATCGCCCGGCGATCCAGCAATTCGGAGGTCAGTACCATTCTTGTCCGCAACGCGTAGCGATAAATCGTCTTTTTGTGAGAGAGCGAAAGAAAGAGAGAGGTGAGATATCAGGAGTACGCACAGGCAGTTTATGTATTTTCACCTGATAGACGAATCTCTCCCGTATTCTTTCGTGAAAAGCTGCACACGCGCCACAGTTTGCGATCAATTTTTTTGTAGAGTAACGCTTCCGAGAGTGGAGTGGCTTTGTTGCAAATTTGCAACACGGAGAAAAATAATTTGCTGGCCCAGCAAATTTTCTGCTGGTCTAGCAAACTCTTTTTGTTACTATATGGACAGCAAAAAGATTTGTTAAGAGTACCAATCACTATTTGCTGGATATAATTTGCTGAATCTACAAATTATTTTGCTATAAGAACCGTGATAGATTTATATAAACAGTTGTAGTTTTGTTTATAGCAAATAAATTTGTTAAGGATACATTATTTTGCATCAATAGCAAATTAACGTGATTCTTAAGACAAATACACTCAACAAATTTTTTCTATCCTGGCAACGAAACTACTTCTGCTCTGATAACGAATAATTT